TCTCTGTGAGTTCCAGGCCAGCCGGGTCTACATAAAGAAGTTCCAGGACAGCCTCTAAAACAATACCAAGAAACCCTGTCTCAAAAATCAAAAAAAAAAAGCGACTTTGGGGTGAAATAATTTATTTCTGCATCTGGCTGGTTATCTGCCTCTCTTCTTCCCAGAGTCCTCTCTGTGCCTGGAAGTCCTGCCTATACCTCCTGCCTAGCTGTTGGCCATTTAGTTCTTTATTAAGCCAATCAGAAGGCACGTTGGTAAAGACACATCTTCAGAATGTACAAAAAGATTATTGCTGCAAATCTTTCTCTGTCCCGCCAGCCAACTGCCAAATCCCAACACAGAGACTTATTATTAGTTATGAAATCTTGGCCAATGGCTTAGGCTTGTTTTTAACTAGTTTCTATAACTTAAATTAGTCCAAATCTTTTATTCTATGTTCTCTAACCTGGTTCAGTTACCTTTACTTTGCAGAGCCCATGCTGCTGGATCTGCATCCCTGGTGTGTCTCTTCAGGACTCTGCCCTTCTTCCCAGCATTCCTTCTGCCCCCCCCCCCCCAAAACCCTGCCTAGCTATTGACCATTCAGCTTTTTATTGAATCAGTCAGAGTGAGACATATTCATAGTATACAAAAAGGTTATTCCACAATAGATTATTTCACAACAGTGTGGGCACACTTGAAGAAAACAGCTCCTGGATGTTACTGTAAACCCACCTTCCTTCCTCGCTCTTTCCCCACCCTGTTCCTCAGAGCCCCCCACCTCTCTTAACTGGCATGCTTCTATCACCCCCCCATCTACGTCTCTGAGAAAACCCTCCTTTGACCTTCACAGCCCACCTCCAGCTCCTCCTGAAACTCTGCTTTCTGTTCCCTTACTTTCTCTGCTTCCTTCCCTTACGTCTTCTAAAGGGGCTTTCCCCTCTGTTTCTACCTCAGTTCCTCTTGCTGGACTCATCAGTAACTTGCTTTTACTAAATGAAAAGAATCCTTCTTAGGTATCATCTAGCTTGCTTTTTCCATCTACCTCATTTTATTGCAGTAGCCAGAATTGAATTTAGGGGTTCACACGTGCAGCACAAGTACAGTACTACTGATCTATATCGCAACCCTCTTTTGATAGGGTCTTGCCCAGTCTGGATCGACCTCTTCACTTTGTAGACCTTGACCTTGAAAGCCCATCCTTTTCCTTTATTCCTATAGTTTACCATTCTCTCCTGTAACAGTTTACCACTTCCTCTTGCCTTCTGGGACATTGCCCTGCTTTCCATTTCTTCTCACCTCTCGTGAACCTCCTTAACAGGTTTCTTGGCAAGCAACTTGTATCCCTTTGTATCACTGCAGCTTCTAAGTGCCAGAGTTCCTGCCCTTGGCTCCAAGGCTCTCTCTGTACTTTTGATAATCTTGCCAAGTATCACAACTTTAATACATTTGCATACCAATAACTCCCAAGAGCACAATCAGTATCTGCAGTAGGTTGGTTCCAGAACCCCACAGGATCCGAAAACCCAATACTCAATCCCTTGTGTAAAATGGGGTGAAAAATCTGCTAACTCAGAGAGCAACTAGCTGACCTTGCTTTTTTGCTAGAGATGATGCAGGAGATGCATCTCTTGCCTTTTCCTAGAACTTAAAAAAAAAGCTCAAACTCTAGTCCCTACCCTTTTCTTGCTGTGCATCTTCTCTACCCGAATTGCTGGCTTCTCTATGGCTAATTCAGTCAGCTCGTCACTGGCTCTGCTCCCTGATTCAAAGTAAATATCATTAACAGTCTAGAGTGTCAAATATTCCTTTACCCTGTGTCACTGGGGTTGGTTTAATAAAGAAGCTGACTGGCTGATAGCTGGACAGGATAAGGTTAGACAGGAAAATCAGACTAAGAACACTGGGAAGAAGAAGGACAGAGTCAGAGGAGACACCGAGAAGAAACGGGAGGTGCAAGATGAAAGAGGAGCAATTCCTCATGGAAGAATGTAGAGTAAGATAAATGGGTTCGTTTAAAATCTAAGAGTTAGCTAGTAACAAGCCTGAGCTCTTAGCCAAGCATTTATAATTAATAATAAGCCTCTGTGTGGTTATTTGGGTGCTACTGGTGGGACACAGAGAAAATCCACCTACACTGGAGTGTCATTATTTGGTCAAAATATCCCACAACAATCTGGCAACACAGTACTCCAAAGGTGAAGGTAGAGGCAGAGGAAGCAGGAAACGAACATGCCATACTGAAATAAAGTACAAAGTCACCTTAATACAGGTTAATTTAAGATATAAGAGCTAGCTAGTAATGAGCCTAAGTTATTGGCTGAGCATTTATAATTAATGTCTCTGTGTGGTTATTTGGTGTTTTTCACTGGGTGTCAGGTTGCCTGGAATTGGACTTACAGGTAGCTGTGGGTTGCTATGTGGGTGCTGGGAATTGAACCCAGGTCCTTTAGAAGAGCAGTTGGTGCTCTTAACCACTGAGACATCTCTCCAGTCCCTCTGTGTGGTTATTTGGGAGCCAGCTAGCAGGGTAAAATGATCTGTGGTTCCAACAAAAAAACTCCACCTATGATTTTCTTCTTTTCTTTCATTTACTTTGGAGACAGTCTCACTACATAACCAGGACTGGCCTGGAACTCTCTTTGCCGACCACTTCTGGCCCAAACTCCTGATTGTTGCAGGATATTTGATCACACTGTGAACCCCAAGATTGTGTATTTACTGGAAAAACTTGCTTCTAGCTATTGTGGAACATTCCTTAACACCCTGTGAAGATGTGTTGCTGTGAATGGTTTAATAAAAAGCTAAATGGCCAATAGCTAGGCAGGAGGTTAGGCAGGACTTCCGGACAGAGAGAGCTCTGGGAGGAAGAAAGGCAGAGTCAACAGCCAGATGGAGAGGAAGCATGATGGGGGGATAGAGTAAAGGTAAATGAGACACATAAAAGAACATAGATTAAAAGATAGATTTAAGCTGTAAGAGCCAGTTAGAAACAAGCCTAAGATTTCAGCTAAGCTTTCATAATTAATAATATGGCTGTGTTGCTATTGAGTACCTTGCTGTCTCAAGGAAGAAAATATGTCTACACTAACTGTGGTGTGGCTCAGTCCTAGCACACACCTTTAATCCAAAAGCTTTCTGCTTGAGTACTGTAAGCAGAATTAAATAAAATCAACCATAGGTCATGAGGTGGAGCAAGCAACCAGTTGACAGGAAAAAGAAAACAGAGAATAAGAGGAAATCAGGAGCACAGAGACTTTTACCAGAAGTAAAAGGGAGGAACATGGAGTTTTGTTTGAGACAACATGAGAGAAAGCTCTCTTTCTGGGATGATGATGGAGGAGGAGGGGGCAGCCGGGTGATTTCTCTGCCTCTCTGAGATAGCAGGTTTTCACTCCAGCATCTGGCTCCTGAGTCATTATTGATAAAATAGAATGATAGAGACATAGTAAAACAACACATGGCCAGGTGATGGTGGTGCACACCTTTAATCCTGGCACTCGGGAAGCAGAGACAGGTGGATCTCTGTAAATTGGAGGCCAGCCTGGTCTACAGAGCGAGTTCCAGGACAGGTAGGGCTGTTACACAGAGAAATCCTGTCTCGAAAAACCAATAAACAAGCAAAAAAACCATCTGATTTCTTGGCTCCACCTCTTCAGCATGCCCTACTGGCCTGTGATACCACAATGGTTCCACTTTAATTCTTTTTTTTTTTTAATTATTTACTGTGTATACAGTTTTCTGCCTACATGCCAGCGGAGGGCACACAAGGTTGTTGTGAGCCGCCATGTGGTTGCCAGGAATTGAACTCAGGACCTCTGGAAGAATGGTCAGTGTTCTTAACCTCTGAGCCATCTCTCCAGCCCCCTCTGCTTTAATTCTTACCCCCAGCTATCTTTCAGTTCCATGAAGACAAAACCTCATTTCTACCTTAGAGCTTTGCACTTCTCAATGTTAATGAGATTAACTAACTCTCACCTTTCCCAAATCAAATACACTGAAATTTTCACAGTCTTTGTGCACTGGAAACATGTATCACTCTCACTGGTTAATGAAGAGCTGACTGGTTTACAGCTGGGCAGGAAGGGGTTGGGCAGGAGAGCCAGACTAGGAGGACCCTGGGAAGAAAGGTGAAGTCTAGAGAGATCCTATGAGAAGCAGAGCAGGCAGGTGGGAAACATGCTGGTGAGTTAAACGAGCCTAGTAGCAGCACATAGATTAGTAGAAATGGGCTCATTTGTTGTAAGAGCTACCTTAAAATAAGCCTAAGCTAATGGCTGGGCATTTATAATTAAGTCTCTGTGGTTATTTCTTGAGCAGTTGGCAGGACAGAAAAGTTCACCGACCCTAAATCTTACTTATTTAGACAAGATTTTACTATTGTACTGTAGCTCTGACTGGCCTGGAGTTCACCATATAGCCCAGGCTGCCCTTGAAGACAGAGTCCCCAGAGGCAGCCCTTCTGAGAGATGGAATTAACGGTTGTGAACCACCAGGGCCCCAATCTTCCCAATTTAAACTATTTTCCTCAATTTTAAACTATTTCTGGCTTTTCTCTCTTATAGCGTTTTGTGGTTTTCCTTCGTTGTCTTACCATGGATGGTAAATATGTATTTGCAGTTATGTGTTTAGTGTCTTCCCTGGTTTGTGAACTCCAAGATAGCAGAGCTAAAGTCAGTTCTGATATTTGCTTTCCTTAACCTATCCACCCTCTTAGTGTCCAGGACATAGCTGCTGCTCCTTCGGTATGTGTGTTTTTAACGAAACGACTGAGAACTCTGCTTTGTTTTGTACGAGTAACTTTAATTTCTAACTAAATTCGGATGCCGGTTTCTTAGGTACTTCAGCCCCTTCAAGTTGGGTCTGCAATACTTCACCAGGTATCTGGTAGTTTTTATTCAGGTCACCTGGACTCTTGGTAGGATCTTTAACAATCAAAAACAAATAAAGAGGATTGTGACTTGGACGCTAAGAAAGATCACGTTTCCGCCTCCACCCAGGAATGTGACACAGTGGCTTACTAGCCCCATTCAAGCCTGCTGAGTGCATCCCTAGCCGGCCTGACCCGCGGGTTCGGGCAGGCGGCTCGAAACTTCCGTACAGCATGGCGGCTCCCGAGGCTGTGATGCAGGAGAAAGTCTTCCGTACAACAGGGCCGCCTACAGACCCGGAGCCCCGCCCCCTCCCGCCCAGCTCCCGGAAGTTTCCTTTTGAAAGCGTGGCGGCAAGCTCTGCCGAGTCCAGGGCGGTTGCTGCCGAGCATCTTTTGAAAGCTAATCAAGAGGACTGCGGGCGGGAGCGGCTGGAAATTGGGTTCGGCTCTGCGGGCCCGGGGCTGGGCTGCGTGCGGGCAGACGGGCCGGCTGGCGTGGCGTTACCCCGGCGTTGCTAATAATCCACCTTGCACCTTCCAGGGCCCAGCCAAGCTGCCCGGCTACTATGGCCACTGCTAAGACGGTGTGCGACACTCAGCCCCATTCGTTGCCCAGCGGCGGCTTGGCCACAGGTGGGTGTCCACACCGCCACCGGCCGGGGCTCCGTGGATTCTACTATCGAAATCCGTGTATGTTGGGGCGGCGTTCGGTTAACTCTGACGCCTCACCCCAAACCAGGCTGTGAAAAAGAGTCCCTGTTCCTACTCCTGACCCCGCCTCCTTCTGTGTTTTCCAGTTAGATCTAAATTGTTGGTTGTTGTTTAGAAATAGTTTTTTGTGTGATGTAGTGGTGGTGGGGGAAATTCGTTATATAGACCAGCTGGCCTCGAACTCACGGTGAATCCTGAGTCTGCCTCCTGAGCGCTGGACTTAAAGGTGTGTGCCACCATGCCCAATGCCTGGCCTCACTTCTTTTTAAACTAGGTTTTCAGTGTGTAGCTCTGCCCGACATTAACTTTGTCACAATCTTCTTGCTTCAGCTCCTGCATACTGAGATTGTAAACCTGCTTCTCTAGAACTCTGTTTTAAAGACGTATTTTTTAAATGGAGGGTGGGGGCAGGGCGCTTGTGCATATAAATAGAGGTGCCCAAGGGTCAGGGGACTTGATCCCCTACAGCTGGAGTTAAAGGCAGCTGTGAGCCCCCTGGTGTGGATCATGGAATCAAACTTCAGTCCTCCGGAAGAGTGGTTCTCCCTTTTAACTGCCGAGCCGACTCTTCAGCCCTAGAAATCGCTCTTTATGCAATTATCCTTTTTATTTCCAGATTAGGGCTGGTTGTCCTGCAGATGTGGTTGTCAGATAAGAGGACCTTTTGAGGAGTAGGATAGTGGGGAGGAATCCAGGATGCCTTGTTCTCGTTAGCAGGTGCACAGTGGCTCCCACTGGCATGCCGTATGTCTAGAGGCAGAGGCCAACCTGGTCTGTATAGTGAGTTGCAGGCCAGGGCTGTACAGCAAGACCTTTCCAGGAGGGGCTTAGTGAGTTGCAGACCAGGGCTGTACAGCAAGACCTTTCCAGGAGGGGCTTAGTGAGTTGCAGACCAGGGCTGTACAGCAAGACCTTTCCGGGAGGGGTTTGAATCAATAAGTTTGACAAGTGTTCGTTACATCAGCCATCCACTTCTCCTTAGTTTCTCCTTCCTAGAAGATGATCTTTGTTAAATTCTAATTGACTTTTTCCTACAGTACATCCTCAGGCTCAACAGAAAGAGATTGTTAGAGCTGATTGCAATTAATGAATTAGGTTTTTTTTTCTCAATTTACTATGAGCTCTTTGTATATGGGCTAGATATTTTATTGTATTTAACTTAATACTACTTGAGATAAGACAAGATAATAGCACAAAATAACTTTTTTCTGAAAGATACCTCCAAAGAACCCATTTAATATTTGCATAGTGTACCTATAAACAAAACGTGTCAACCTCAGGAATTATATATTTACTCCAAATTATTGTGCAGCAAGTAATTTGAATAAAATTTTTATTAAATACAAAGTACCCTGCAATATGATCCAGCACTTTATACCTCATTTCTTCAACTTAATTATTTAACTAGTATAGCCATTTTACAGTGAACAAAGTGAAGTTAGTAAAATCTAGGAAACCCTGAGCTGGAAAGAAATAGAAAGGCTTGGGGGTAGGGCATGACAGGTGCTCTGACATGCTAGTATAACATGTATTAAATGACATGTATGGTGAGGACGGAAGGTTACCCAGCCTGGCCCGGTAGGCAGATGAGCAGGGATGCCCGATAGGAACCTCCTAAGTTTAATAAGGGGTCATCAAAGTAAAAGTCCTGTAGAAGGGCAAGAGCCCGGCACAGGGAAAGCAGAGGGACTGGTCACAGGAATGGGCAGTGAAGCATGTGTAGCTGATGTGCTTCGTCTATTCCACTGGTTGGTTCTTGGCCCTTGGTTAATGCCAGATCCTGGTTAAGTGGTGACACTTAAGAGGGAGTGGGAGCCCTGAGAAGTCAGTTCCAGCTGGGCTGTCCCTACTAACTCGGCCTCCAACTCGTTGCTTGCACTGGCCTCCGTATTCACATACCTGTAGCCTGTCAGTTTGACGTATTGTCAGGTACACTGAGCTATCACTTTGTAGAATTTTGAAGCTGTATGTGTTGGTGCACACCTATGATCTTAGCATTTGGAGGCAGAGTCAGGAGTATCACTCTTAAGTCACGAACAGTCTCCGCATACCTGGAGCAAGGCCACTCAGACATAAAGTAAGAACCGTATCTCCAAAAAATAAAAAAGAATCTTAGTTTCTAAAGCCAATTAGTATAGAGTCCTTGTCTTTGGGAACAGCCTCTATTCTTTCACTGCAAGTGGACAGTATGAAAATAAGGGCTATGATAGTTAGCAAGGAGACTCTGTATGGCACAGGGTCTGGGGGTAAGATGCTGTGGTTCACTCTTGTTTTCCCTTCCAGATGCACAAACTCGAGCTACTTCTAAGCTACCTGTTAAGTCCAAAGAGGCTGATGTGTTTAGACATTTTCATCCAGGAGGCTCAGATCATGATGTTACAAAAGCCACCAAACCAAGACGAGAGAATGGGTAAGAGCAGATGGTTGGCATCTGGTTAGAACATCTTGCTAGAGCTAGGGGGTGGAGCTAGAGTGCTTGGCCTTGCATGTTCAAGGGCCTGGGTTGAGACTCCAGCAGAGAGGGGGAGGACGGGAGAGACTGATCTTTCTAGAAATTGCTGAGCACCAAAATTTTAAAAAGAGGCTGAGGAGATGGCTTAACCCTTGTGGCTCTTTCAGAGGACCCCAGTTTGGTTCCTAGCACCCATCCATAACCGGGTTCTAGGGGGTCCAACATCCTCTTCTGACTTCTGTTGGTACCAGGCACATATTTGATGCACATCTATACCTGTAGACAAAACACCCATACACAAAAACATAAATAAAAATAAATTAAAAAATACTAAAGCTGGGCATAGTGGTGGCACATGCCTTTAATCCCAGCACTTGGGAAGCAGAGGCAGGTGGATCTCTGAGTTTGAGGCCAGCCTGGTCTACAGAGTGACCAAGACAGCTGGAGCAACATAATGAGACCCTGTCTCCAAACACTCCCTAAAAGGAAAAAATAGAGTATGGGAGCCCTTGTTTCATACAAACAAAATGGGGCTCCTGAAATCTTTGTGAGGACCCTCTGTTCATCTTTCTGAAGACACACAGTAAGGGTTCTGAGAAACGTTTCCTCTACCACACTGGCTCTGACCACACAGTAGCACCTGGCTGGCTGGGAGCCTCACTCAGGAGTCTGAGCAGAGCCCAGCCCCAGGGTCTAGTGTGTTTGTGACCCTAGCCGTGATCCTCTGCCAGACGGGTGTGGTTGGCATGAGATACACAGTATCTGAAGCAAGCTCAGGTCTGTCAGGTTGTCAGTGTGCTGAAGGTCCTTTCCTTAATAAAAAGCTGTCTTCCCACACCAGCTGAAACCAAACTTCGTCAGACTATCTGTGGACCGCCAGCCCACAACTAATAACGACCCAGAGACTTGTTATTAATTATGAAAGCTTGGCCTTAGCTTAGCCTTTTCCCCAACTAGCTCTTATAAATTAATTAACCCATACTTTCTAAATCTACATTCTACCACGTGGCTCAGTTACCTCTTCCTAGTACACATCTGACTTGCTCTGAGTCTGATGGAAAAATCGTGAGTGACTAGATTCCTCCTCCCAGCTTCTCTCTGCTTGGAAGTCCCCCCTGCAGCCCCCTGCCTAGTTATTGGCCATTTAGCTTTTTATTATACCAATCACAGCAATACATTTCACACAGTGTACAAATATCCCACAACAGGCATGAGCCCTCTGGCCCTCAGCCTGTGCTGTTTACTGTTTACATTGGCTCTTTCCTTAGAACTAAAATCTCATAAACCAGGTATGGTAACATGCACTTCTTTTTTTTTTTTTTAAGATTTATTTACTTATTTATTTTGTATACAGTGTTCTGTCTGCTTGTATCCCTGTGGGCCAGAAGAGGGCACCAGATCTCATTACAGATGGTTGTGAGCCACCATGTGGTTGCTGGGAATTGAACTCAGAACCCCTGGAAGAGCAGCCAGTGCTCTTAACCTCTGAGCCATCTCTCCAGCCCAGGAGCATGCACTTCTAATCCCTAACTGGAGAGGCTGAGGCAGGAGGATTGGTAGTCCAAACCCTGTTTCCACACGATAGTGAAGCCAAGCCCCCGATTGTACCTCATTCATAGCACCTAGCACTGTGGTTCTCTGATTAGCTTTGATTCTGCTTTTGTAGGCAAGTGAGAACTACAGAGGCCCCCAACAAGAAGAACATCAGGAAGAGGTGAGCATGGGGTGGACTAAGGGCGGAGGCTAATGTGGACACAGATAATAACGTGACCATGGGGTAGACTGAGGGCGGAGGCTAATGTGGACACAGATAATAACATAAGCATGGGGTAGACTGAGGGCGGAGGCTTGAGTGTGACACAGATAACATGAGCATGGGGTAGACTGAGGGCAGAGGCTTGAGTGTGACACAGATAATGTCAGCATGGGGTAGACTGAGGGCGGAGGCTTGAGTGTGACACAGATAACACGAACATGGGGTAGACTGAGGGCGGAGGCTAATGTGGACACAGATAACTGTCACATTAGGCTCACTTGTTGTGTTTAAGTGTAGGTACCATGACATATACCTGAGTGGAATTTGGGGATAAGACACAAGAAGGTGTAAGAACCAGCATTAGGAAAAGGATCAGTCGTACCATCATTTTGATCAGTAGTCTTGACAGGAAACCCCAAAGCTTCTTTAAAATTTTATTTTTTATTTTACTTTTTAACTCTGTGTGTGTGTGTGTGTGTGTGTGTGTGTGTGTACCTGCAGAGTATCAGATCCCCAATAGAGCTGGAATCATAGGCAGTTGTGAGCGGAATGATTTGAGTGTTAGGAATTGAACTTGGATCTTCTGGAAGAACAGAGCATGCTCTTAACCACTGAACCATCTGGCAGCCCCCCTCTTTTTTTTTTTTTAATAAAAATATCAATCGTTCAATTTTATCAATAAAGACCTGAGAGCCAGTTGCCGGGGTGAAAGCCTGCTAGCTCACAGAGGCAGAGTAGGTACTCAGGTGACCCTGCTCCTCCATCGTCTCTGAAGAGATCCCTCTTCTACACCATCTAAACAAAAGCTCACTCAGTGTCCTTCCCTTCTGCTTCCTGTGTGTCTCCCTCTGTCCTCCTGACTCCCTCTTACAATGTTTTTTTCACTTCCTGTCAACTGGATGCCTGCTCTGCCTCTTGACCTATGGTTGATTTGATTTATTCCTATTTACAAGTACAAAGCTCCTGGATTAAAGGTGTGTGCTAGGGCTAAGCCACACCACAACTAGAAACAGGTTTTTCCAGTAACTAACTCAGTCTTGGCGTTTACAGTGTGATCAAATATCCTGCAACACCCCTCCCTGCAGAACTACTTCTTGCCAGATGTTTTGGATTATGCCTGTAATAGAAGTACTTGGAAAACTGAGGCAGGATTGCCACAAGTTCAAGGCCATCCTAAGGTGCATATTTCAGGGCAACCAGGGTGTAGGGTGTGCTGGATAGTTTTATATCAACAACACAAGCTAGAGGCACTGGAGAGGAGGGAGCCTCGACTGAAGGAAATGCCTCCAGAAGATAGGGCTGCAGACAAGCCTGTAGGGCATCTTCTTAATTAGTGATCAATGGAGGAGGACCCACCCATTATGGGCTGGAGCTCCTGGGTTCTGTAAGAAAGCAGGCAGAGCAAGCCACGTAAGCAGCTCCCCTCCATGTTCATCATCAGCTCCTGCCTCCAGGTTCCGGTCCTATTTGGGTTCCTGTTCTGACTTCCTTCGATGATGAACAGTGATCTGCAAGCATAAGCCCTATAAACCCTTTCCTTCCCAAATTGCTTTGGTCATGGTGTTTCACCACGGCAATAGAACCCTAAGACATAGAGGGAACCCCTATTTAAAAACCACACACCCTCCCACACACACAAAAGGTTTTTGGGGCTGGGGAGATGGCTCAGTAGGTAAGAGTGCTTGCTATGTAAGTATGAAGGCCTTGGTTAGAATCCCACAGCACCCTTGTAAAAAGCTGGGTGTGCCCACACCTGCCTGTAGCTGCAGAATTAGGAGGGGGGCAGATAGACCTGGGAACGTGCTGGCTGGTGGTCTAGGTGAGCTGCAGACTCAGTAAGAGATCCTGTCTCAGGGGAATGAAGTGGAGCAGTAGGAGAAGATTCCTGAAGCCCTGATCTGTGGCTGCATAAAGATCCACATGTACACACCACACACATTTTTGAAAACTCAGGATCTTCAAACTGAAGGTTTAATATTAAGGATGACAGCTGTCTATTACAATTAAGGATTACAGCAGATGTTAAAAGCATTGTCCATGGATTCTCTGTCTTATAGTGATGGTGTGAAATGGAGGTATTGTCTTAATTCTAGAAATGAGGAAACAAAGCCTCAGGTTACAGGCCACTGTCAGGAAGCCAGGACTGGAACCCATTTGAATAACTCAATAGCATGTACTCCAAAACCCTTCACCCCATCATGTTACTACAAATTTATCTTAGCTACAAACCACTGAATAAGCAAAAACCAGAGGAGGAACTAAAGGATAAAAACCAGCTCCTGGAGGCCACCAACAAGCAGTTACACCAGAAGCTGGCAGAGACTCAGGTAAGATGCCCACCCCAGTTCTAACTCATCAGCAGCCCCTGGGTGATGCAGGTGGATTCCTGCTGGGTTGGGAGCACCGGACCACAGCAGACAGAAAAGAGGCCTCCTCCAGCTGTGGCTCACCACGAGTCCAAGCAAGGAAGACCCACCACTTACAGGACGCCTGATGTGTTGGTTGCCACTCTACAGGGAGAACTGAAGGACCTGACCCAGAAAGTGGAGCTACTGGAGAAGTTTCAGGATAACTGTTTAGCAATTTTGGAGAGCAAAGGCCTCAACCCAGGTAAGAGGCAGCAGCACACAACTGCTTTGGAAAGTCAGTGCAGGTGCCCTTCCTGGGACTATGTTGGCAGCAAGGGATCTTTGCCCTGTGAGTAAAGGAGCTGCTGAACCAAGCCCTAAGCGTTTTTGAGTGTTTCTTGATGTTCTTAGGGAGTGTCCATTTCTGCCTGACTAATACATCAGGCGACTGTAGAGAGTCACTTCTCTCTCTTAGCTGAGTACTGTTTCACTAGGTGCCAGCAGCTAGGAGCTTGCAAAGAGACCAGAAACACTGTTTCTTTCCAGGGTGATAGAGCTTACAAGGTAGCCTGCTCAGGTGACAAGAGGGACAATTCTGTCTCGGTGGTTCCTGAGTTGGCTTTTTCACAGTGCCTGTGACTCCTGGGTAGGGTATACTCGGTGAAAGGGATGTTCTTAGGATGTGGAAGACCCTGGGTTCTATCGCCAGTATCCACCCCCAAGAAGAGAGTTTGTCTAAAGACTGTGAGATGGCCTCAGACTGCACTGAAGAGCCAGAGACTGCCTAGGAAAGGGACCTGGGTCTCTTTGAATCAAGGAATGCTGACTCTGTGCTGTAGATGGAACCCCGGGCCTGCCATGTGTCAACATTTATTACACCCTCGGATCCAGTCTTAGTGTCTGTTTGGGGGAGTAGGACATTTGGGGGGGTGTTTTCATTTTTTTTTGTTTGTTTGTTTTTGTTTATTTGTTTTTTCAAAACAGGGTTTTTCTGTGTAACAGCCCTGGCTGTCCTGGAATTGCTTTGCAGCCCAGGCTGGCCTTGAACTCACAGCGATCTGCCTGCTTCTGCCTCCTGAGTGCTGGGACTGAAGGTCCACCACCCAGCCCTGTTTTTCTTTCTTTAAGACTTTATTTTATGTATATGAATGTTTTGCCTACATGTATACTTGTGTGCGTCCCATGTGCACTTGGTGCCCTCAGATTTCAGAAGAAAGTACCGAATCCCTTGGTACTCTGAATAGGTTTATGGGGGGAAGCAAAGCCTGTGAGACAGGGCCTTACTAGGTAACCCAGGCTGACCTTGAACATTGAATCTTCCTGCCTCAGCTAGGCGCTGGAGTTAAAAGGCAGGGAATACTACACCTAGCCCATCATCTTTACTAGATGCATATGTTTTCTGTCTTAGTCACTGCTCTGTGATGAGACACTGGCTAAGGCAAGTCTTATAAAAGAAAGCATGCAGTTAGGGGCTTGCTTAGAGTTTCAGAGGCCAAGTCCCATCATGGTTGGAAGGCACTGGACCAGTAGCTGAGAGCTAGATCCTGATCCGGAGGCAGAGAGGCAGAGAGAGAGAGACTGAACCTGGCATGCACTTTAGAAACCTCAAAGCCCACTCTAATGACACACTTCTTCCAACAATGCCTTGCCTCCTAATCTTTCTCAAATAGTGTCACTCCCTGGTGACTAAGCATTCAAATGTATGAGCCTGTGGGGACCGTTCTCATTCAACCACCACAGTTACCAAAGATAAGGACTTTAAAGGCCTGAAAGATTCTTTTAAATAATTTTGTATATTGTAAACAAAACGAAAACTAACACATGCATTTCCTACGGATAAAGTTTCTCCAGAGAGAAGCAGAACAGAATAGACTCTGGCCATTTGCAAGCCTAGAGAGACAGCGCTGGAGAAAATACAGCTCTGGGGGCAGACATAGGCGGCATGGCCAGGATAAAGCTTCCAGGGCAGGCATTGGAGAGGCTTCCCTTAAAAACATGCCTGTACTGTGCATGGAGGCCTATTTCCCCTCTGGTTAAGTGTGTGTCCCATGTGAGGCTGACCTTGTTGTATGCATCCATTTTAGGCATCGAGACCCTGGCATCACAGAGGGAATCTACTACAGATCACACGGACTCCATGGTAAGGGCAAGGGTGTGGATGGGCGGGTCCTCAGCCAATGAGAGTAAATACATCTCCAAAGTCTTTGGTCAACTTAAGCTTTATTTTCTGTTAGACAGGGCTATCCCCTAAAAGAGGGTTACAGAAAGCAGGAATGAACTTATTTTGATTTTGTAACAAGATGGCTTTCAATCTTTTTTGGGGTGGTAGTGGTTCGAGACAGGGTTTCTCTGTGTAGCTTTGGAGCCTGTCCTGCAACTATCTCTTGTAAACCAGGCTGGTCTCGAACTCACAGAGATCCACCTGCCTCTGCCTCCCAAGTGCTGGGATTAAAGGCACGCACCACCACTGCCCAACTGACGGCTTTTAATCTTAAAATGGGTCGGGTTGGTCCATCACCCAGCAGGAGCTAAGATCTATGTTTTGTGCTCTGAAAATTTGAGGATGCTTGGCTTTGGTTGTCCATGATACTAGATAAGAGAAATGGAGTGTGTATTTATAGCGTATTTCACTTGAAAGGTAGTTCTATCCTCACAGGTAGATATAAGTGACTCTGAACTGAAAATATACCAAAACACAGAATGGGCTGAGGAAAGGGTTCAGTCAGTGAAGTGCCTGCCATACAAGCATGAGGACCCGAGTTCAGATCCTCAGCAGCCATGTGAAAACTGGGTGTAGAGTGGTGAAAACAAGTGGATATCTGGCTCATTGTCCTGCCAGCCTACCAACTGGTCTCAAAAAGGTAAAGGTGGACCTACAAGATGGGCTGGCAGGGAAAGGGGTTTGCTTGCCAAGCCTGATGACCTGGCTCAGTCCCTGAACTGGCTCCTTCCGCTCGTCTTCTGACCCCCATATGGTACATGAATTAGGCCCACTCCTACATGTAAATAAATGTTTTTTCACAAGTGGAGAGCTGTTGAGGAGGCTGGGTAGGTAAAGGTGCTTGCTACAAGCCTCACAACCCAACTTAGATCCCCAGAACACACATGATGGGAAGAAGAAACCAATTCCCCTAAGTTGCCAACCAGCCTCCACATGCATATCACAGTACATGCATGCATGTGTTCATATACATATTAAATAAATATATGTTTTAAAAACTGTTTTAAGATAGGGGAAGGCTGGGCAGATACTTAAGGTGGTGGTCAGTGGATTAAGGTCCTTGCGATACAAACATCACCATGAGTTTGATCCCTGGAGGGAAAAGTGGATGAAGAGAACCCACCCCACAGACTCGTCCCAGGATCTCTACATATGTGCTGTAGCATGCACACAATTATAAATGATAATAATAAAAATAATTTTTAAAGGTAAAAAGCAAAGAAGATATCTGTTGTCAATCTCTGGCCTCCACAAGCATTTGTAGCTGCATGTATGTGTGCATATGCCAAAGGAACACACACATACACACCACATCTCTCATACACACACACACACACACACAGACACACGCACAGACACACACACACACACACACACACACACGCACGGAATCTGGAGATATGACTCACTGGAGTGCTTACCTAGTATTCATGACAGTTAAGATTGACTCCAGCATTTCAGACAGACCACACATGCACATGTGTGTACACATAAAAACCTTTGATGGGAGAACTTGTATAAAGACCTTCTACACTTCTTCAAATGTCGCCTCTATTCCATTGCTGACAACTCATAATGCCAAGGCCTAGCCTGTTTGAATTCATAGTTTCTTTCCCTAAAGGAAGGTAGTTTATTTGGGCATAAAGACCTCCAAACCTAAGATCAATTGTTGCAATGCCGGCCAAGAAAGCCACCTCTGGCTTCTCTCTGAGTCTGTAGGGTTTGCTCCTAAGGTCTGTGCAGCACAGAGCACATTGAGGTAGATAAATTTGATATCCCAAGGAAGGGACCTGTAGTAAAAATGAAGTTTCTTGGGTCTGGATTGTTGAAATTGCCTGAATAAATGATGGGATATTGGACACAGGGAATTTTATCGTGCTAGATAAAGGAGTCTATGGGATAGAGGAAAAATTCCTAAGAGCATCACAATTCAGAATCTGGCTCATTGGTGGGCTGGGTTCCTCAGAGGGGACCAGTGGAGATCCTGGCATGTTCAGTTGGTGCTCATATGGTCATGAATGGAAAGGGTGGTAGCCACCATCTAATTCACCTCTCTCTCTCTCTCTCTCTCTCTCTCTCTCTCTCTCTCTCTCTCTCTCTCTCTCTCTCTCTCTCTCTCTCTTTCTCTCTTTCTTGCCCCTAACTTTTAAAATAGGGTCTCACTATGTACTACCCACTATCCTGAAACTCACAATGTAGTCCAGGCTGGCCCGAACTCAGAGATCTCCCTCAGTCTCTGCCTCCTGAGTGTGGGATTAAGGCTTGCACCACCACCCTAGGCTCACTCAATATATTCTTTCCTTTCAGCTGCTCCTAGAAACTTTACAAGATGAATTGAAGACTTTCAATGAAACTGCTAAGAAGCAGATGGAGGAGTTACAGGTAAGGCACCCACCCCAAAGCAGGGCTGTCATTTTTACTAGTTTGTGGATTTGGGGGAATAATTCTTCCTAGTTTTCTTTTTTGAGACAGGATTTCTCTGTATCAGCCCTGGGTCCCTGGAATTCTTGTAGACCAGGCTGGCCTTGAACTCAGATCAGCCTGCTTCTGCCTCCCACATGCTGGGATTAAAGCCACCACAGACTGACTCTTTTCTTCTCTTTGGATAGAGTCTTGATTTGTAGCCCAGATTGGTCTTGAATTCAGGATGATTTTCCTACCTCAGCCCCTTAAAGACTTATGGGTGTGAGCCACTGTGTCTGGCTCTTTTTTTTTTTTTACGAGACAGGGTTTCTCTGTATTGTTTTGGAGGCTGTCGGTCCAGCCTGGCCTCGAACTCACAGAGATCCACCTGCCTCTGCCTCCCGAGTGCTGGGATTAAAGGCGTGCGCCACCACTGCCAGGCTCTTTTTTTTTTTTAACATTTATTTTTATTTATGAGTATGTGTCAGTATGAATGTATATCACATACATATAGGTACCAATGGAAGACATGAGAGGACTTCAGATTCCCTGGAACTGGAGTTATAGGCAATTGTGAGCTGACTAAGATGGTTACTAAAAACTGAATTCTAGTTGTCTGGAAGAATGGGGATACTCAACTGCAGAGACATCTCCAGTTCCCTCCGCCTTTATATTATTTAGTGAGTGCATGTATATATATGTATGTCTGAATGTATGTGGGTCCATACATGCCGCAGCACATGGGACTCAAACTCAGGTCCTCAGGGTTGGTGGCAGGCACCTTTACTCACTGAGCTATTTCACCTGTCCACATGCTTAACTCCTATTGTTTGATTTTAATAAACTATTTTTAATCTGTGTCGGGGTGGCGAACAGCTTTAATCCCAGCACTTGGAAGGCAGAGGCGAGTCTTGTCTAACAGAGCTAGTTCCCAGGACAGCTAGAGCTGTTACACAGAGAAACCCCGACTCCAAAAACCAAAACAAAGCAAAAACCCATTTTCTAAATAATTTTAGATGTATAGAAAAGTTGCATAGATAGATAATGCAGAAAATCCAGCTCCCCTAAGGATAACACCTCACAAATGCTCACACATTTGCCACCAGTAAGAAACCAACACTGGTGTGTCATTGTTAACTAAATTCCTGGAGTGGTTACTGAATCAGTTTCTGTTTGTACAATTTTTTCTTTGTATGTTCCTGAAGGCCCAGAAATGTTCCCAGGGATAACGCCTAGGGCAGGGAGGGGGAATCTCCACACCTCCAGTGGTCCACACAGTAGGCTGCTCAAAGTTGAGACTATGTGAAATTCATGCAAAAAGCTTATGTCAAGATGCGAAGAGACCTGAGCAAGACCTCCTGACTCCAGGACGAGAAGGACAGCTCACAGCTGAGAGTGCTGCTGCTGCTGTTGCAGGTCCCAGGCTCTGCTTCCCAGAGCTCATAACTCCATAACTACAGCTCCAGAGAGCTGATGCCCTTTTCTCCTCAACACAGGCATCCAAGGCGCACACACACACACACACACACACACACACACACACACACACACACACATGCACACACGCACACGCACACGCGCACACGCGCACACACACACACACACACGGGGGAAAAAAATTAGAGGCCAGGCATGGTGGCACACACCTTTTATCATAGGGGCAGGAGGATCTCTGTAAGTCTGATCTACATGGTGAGACCCTGTCTTAAAAATAAACTGAAGCCGCCACCGGTGGTGGTACATGCCTTCAGTCCCAGCACTCGGGAGGCAGAGGCAGGCAGATTTCTGCAAGTTCAAGACCAGCCTGGTCTACATAGCGAGTTCCAGGACAGTCTCCAAATGTAGAGAAACCATGAGGCAGGAGACACAGAGGATTTTATTGCTCCAGTTTAAAATTCCCCAAACCAGCCCAGATAATTCCCAAGGTAGGGAATTCGATGTGTGGCATTGGCTAATCTGTCTTCCTCTCTGCAGCTTAGATGTAATGTTCTGTCTGAGTACTGTCCTTCTGTGAGGCCAGAGTTTTGTTGTGGGTTTTCCTTTGGAATGTCTTCCCTTTCAGGCCTTGAAGGTGAAGTTGAAGTTGAAAGAAGAAGAGAGGTTCCGGTTCCTGGAGCAGCAAGCCTCATGTAAAGACCAAGCCAGTGACTTCACAGTCGCCCTGGAGGAAATGGAGCAGCTTTTAGAGATGTAGTACAGGGCAGTGGCCAAACTCCCAGAGGAAGCCAGCTAGGGTATCCTCAAGGACTCACCATCCCTTATGCACTGTGGCAGGCAGTTAGTTGATGCAGAGTGGGGTTCCTCCTTAAGCAGACTGCCCACCTTCAGACTGCTCAGCTCACCTGAACCTCACATGTTGCTCATGGAGGCCTGCAAGAGAGGGACCTAGAAGCTTGACTCCACCACCTGCGCACAGAGCACCAGCCTTCAGAGCCAGGATGCTAAACCAGCCACCTTGGAGAATCTAGAGGCGCTTATGCAGAAACGTGGGAGGAAAGCCTTCATACAACAGTGCATGTACTGTACAGGAGATGTCACTAAGAACCATGCTGTCCCCTGTTGGGCCTAACTAAGAAGGGCTCGGATGTGAGGCCCAGTGTAAGCTCCTGAGCCTGACTTGAGTTTGGCCACCTGTCTCTAACCTGTAACCTCCACGTGGGGGTGACTCAGCCAGACCTAATGTAAGACTGCCCCCTGCCTAGCTATCTGCCTGCTTGTTGGAATACTATTGGCCCTTATACCTCACGTTACCTTACCCTATCCTATGATTCCCATCCCCCTGCCATATAGGTTCTGCCTGTTGGAATAAATCGAGATCCTGCTTCGACAGACTCCCTACTCAGTGTGCCCCCCCCCTCGCCCCCCCCCCGTAACTAGTAAGGGGGAGGGCCTGACCCGCTCAGCCTCCCCAAGAGACCCGCTGGACCCGCCCTTCCCCCCGCCCTATCTGCAGGGAGGACCCTGCACTCCCCTTCTTTGTCCATCTGGTTGAGCTAAATTTGTGAACTTGGAATTCTTGAAGTTTTTTTGGCTTAATAAATGGGGTGGAGATATACATAACACCTACCTGCAATAAATAGCACTTGGAGCTTTCTAAGTACTGCTTTTGAAATAAATACTTATGTGGATTTTAATACTCTGACTAGCACTGAAGAATGAAATAGCCTTTTTAGCTCAGTGTGGTGACTCATGTCTATAATCAAAACTTGGGAAACTGAGGCAGGAGGATTGCCTTGAGTTAGAGACTAGCCAAGGCTTCAGAGATCCTGTCTCAAAAAAGGAGGAAAAAGGGAGGAGGAAGGGTTGAATAGCACTTCAGTATAGATGGATGAGTTGAGTGTGCTGGGTAAGCTCTAGGCGTCCTGACTTACCGGTGGATTTTTCCCGCCACCCATTGGCTTGTAGCCCCCTTGCCTTCCAGGAAGGATCACTGCTTCTTCACTGCGAGCCATGTTGAACTCACCATGTTTGTGGCCAGCTGCTGTCTCTGTTGTCTGTATGTCTGCAGTTTGTCTGTCACAGCCAACCCAGAACTTCATCCCACAGGTCCTATGGTCTCTGTGGGTCATGCCCTGGCACCCCTGGTAGCCTCCACTTGGGGTTACCAAAAGTGCTGCCACGCTTTCTTTCAAACTGAAACATTGTCGTGTGCTTTGGCTATCTTCCATCATTTGTGCCTTCCACCAAACTTGCCTAATATGTTCCTCTAAATCACTAAGGCTACCAGAGTTCCCAATCCACAGTGAAGCAAGTCATGCCCTGTACTTTTTCTTTCTTTCTTTTTCAAATGTATAAAATGGTTTATAACATAAAGGCACAAATAAGGACCATCACACAGTAGGTAAAGCAACATGCATTTACCATGTGCAAGATGGGAGTCCAGGAGGGGTGGCTATAGAACAATGCGTTCTGGGTTCCTCTGTGATACACATCTACTCCTTTGATGAATGGCCCTACCAAGACTCTGGTGAAGTCCTGAATGGAATGCAGAATTCAGAAGAGTGCAGACAGTCATGTAGTCTATGCATGCAGGAGACCAAAGGACACTAGCAACAGGATCCACTATGGCAGCATGTGACCCACACGGTCACTTTGAGCTGCCTTACGTATCTTATTCCATTCTTGTACCTATAAAAACTAATGTTGTACAATGATTTCTGGGTTGCAAAAGAGCGTTTTTTTGTTTTTTGCTTTTTTACTTCTCTTTAATGCCTTTTTCCACCAGTGGAACAAAAGCACACACACACACCAATCTTAAAGGGCTAGAATTGAGTATGTCATAAATAGCATAATAGGGGAAGAATAAATAAATACTCTTGTTTGATTTTTTTGGGGGGGGTTGGTTTTGTTTTGTTTTCAAGACAGGGATTGTTTGTGTAACAGTCCTGGCTGTCCTGGAACTCTGTAGACCAGGCTGGCCTTGAACTCACAGAGATCCGACTGCCTCTGCCTGGGATTCACCCATCCAGCTGGGGACAGTCAAGGTAAGACCAGGGACGCCTAGGAGAAAGTAGGGGAACAAGAGGTACAAGGAATGGACAGCAAGTCAACATGGCTGATCAAGCTGACATATCTAAAGAGGTGGCATTTCTCTGGGGTCATGTCCTCCATGTGACAGGGTGAAGGGATTTCTAAGTAACCTGACTGTAGGAAGAAGAGTTGTTAAGTGACCTAGCTGCAGATTGCTATCAGCTATTCTTATGAGCCCTAATTCTATTAGTCAAGGAGCTGGAAAGGGCAGGAAAGTTGATAACAAAACGGGCTATACTTGGAAGAGCTGGCATTATTTACAAGAGGTTCTAAGTAACAATGACCGCTCCCCACATGGGATTAAAGCTGTGTGTCACCATCACCCAGTCTCATTCTTACTCTTTAGTTAACATACAAAATAATGGGTCTCGTTTTGATATTTTCATGTATGTCACTTCTTAAATTTTGTAAAAAAAATGTTTTATCACTTCTATTTTGTATAAAACACAAGGAGAAACCCAATCAGTCAACCTGTGACTGACCACTTGGAAAGGGATTTACCACAAACGTTTTTCTTATATGCGAGGTAATTGTCTATGCTTTCTCCATTGAACTCATTTTAGAGATTGCACGTATCCCATTGGTATCTTCTCTCTGCTACAGGAGCATGAGGGAAGAGCAGGTTGGTTAAGCAACCTCCTAAGGCCCTGCCTGCTGTCCCTCCTTCCAATCAGATCTGTGAATGTGAAGAATCACACTACCCTAATGCTGCACCAGCACAGACTTCAGGCTGCAAATGACGGGAAGTGGTAACCCTTTACTCTGAGGTCCACTCTCTGACAACTCTAGCACCTGTCGCCCAGTGACACTGCCTCAGCCTAGGCGTTCTCACTGTCGTTTCCAGCTTCACCTCCAGCCAGAGTCCCGACTGTGCATGCCCCCTGCCTCCCCTAGACACCGCCCCCTTCTCATGTGTTACTAAAACCAAACTAGAGAAAGCTTCTCACAGCCATTCGGGCCTCAAGGGATGAGAGGCGGGCACTCACTGGTAAAGTATGTGTTCACACTGCACAAGGCACTAGAGTCAATCCCAGGCAACACACACCGTTTTTCCTTAAATACACAAATGAAACCACTGATGCAAAAGTCACTAAAATAGTCAAATTCATTCAGACAGAAAGTAGAGTAGAGGGGCTGGAGAGATGGCTCAGAGGTTAAGAGCACTGACTGCTCTTCCAGGAGTCCTGAGTTCAATTCCCAGCAACCACATGGTGGCTCACAACCATCTATAATTCAATCTAGTACCCTCTTCTGGCACGTAGGCAGAACAGTGTATATGCAATAAATAAATAAATCTTAAAAAAAAGAATAGAGCGTGAAGGGAGAAGGAATTAGTGTTCAGCAAGTACCATCAAGTTTTTGATCTTCAGTGGTTTTGTTTAGTTGCTTTTTCTCAAGATTTGTTATCATTTTTAGCATTCCTCTAATCCCAGCCCTCAGGAGCGGAGGCTGGTGGATCTCTGAGTTCAAGGCTAGCCTGATCTACATAGTGAGATCCTTTCACAAATCAAAAATAAAAGTATTCTCAATCACTACATGTTTATGCTGATTTTACAAATTAAAGGGTTTTGTTTTGTTTTGTGCTGGAAATTGAGTCCAGGGATCCCAGAATGCTAGGCAAGTGTTCTACTGCTAAGTAACATTGCCAGGCCAAAATTACTTTGTTCATTTATTAGAGAGAGGACCTGTCTGTGTAGCCCAGTCTAGCCTGAAACTTGATATGTAGCCAGGCTGCCCTTGAACTTATGATCCTCTTACTCAGCCTGCTGAGAGCTAGGACTACAGATATATGTCACAGCGTCAGCCACCCTGAAGTTTTCCAGTTAGATTTTTCAGAACTGTTTTCCCAAGAGCTATTTCTAATGTTAAATGAAAGTTACAGGGGGTCAGGTTGGGATGTAGTTTAGTTGGGGAAAAAATGTTTTGAGACAGGGTTTCTCTGTGTAGCCCTAGCTGTCCTGGAACTAACTCTGTAGACCAGGCTGGCCTTGAGCTCACAGAGATCCACCTGCCTCTGCCTCCCGAGTGCTGGGATTCCTGGTGTGCACCACCACTGCCCGGCTAGTTGGTAAAATTCTTACCTAGCATATATGAAGGCCTGTGTCCAGTCCCTAGCACTGTATTAAACTGAGCTTGGTCGTGAGATAATGCATGCCTCAAAGCCCAGGCACTGGAGGCAGAACTCAGAATTTAAGATCATCCTCAGCTGGGCTAGAGAGATGGCTCCACAGTTAAGAGCCTTCTCCTGCAGAGGACCAGAGTTCACTTTCCAGCACTGTGTCACCAGCTCTAGGTGATCCAGTGTCCTCTTATAGCTCCTGAGGGGACGGACGGACACACACACACACACACACACACACACACACACACACACACACACACGATTAGAGAACTTCTTTTTAGATCATCATCAACTACATACTCAGCAGGAGTACAATGCCAGGGTTTTGTTTTGTTTTATTTCCTTTTATAGGGTAATATAGAGTTACAGGAGGTCATTATTTTGAACTGATCTAGACAGGCCAGGTTAAAATTCAAAAGAGAAACTAAAGTCACCAAAATGAAATTAAAATGTTTATCTGCTCTTACGAGATTAGACTGATAACAGTCAAATTTCCCAAACTTGAAGTTAATATACACTCTGTCTTAGCTTGGTCAGGAAGCTCACTTACCCACATGGTAAAGAGTTGCTTTCCTAGTATTTCCTATATCTGTCTCTACCCTCCAAGGGAATTAACCAATCCGTATTTGATTTCTGCTTTTTCAAGCCCTTTTCTTTTTATAAAGCCTCGTCAGTATGTGCTCAGTTTATTCTATGGGTTATTGTGCTCAAAAGTAAAGCAATTAGAAACACTGTCTACTTTAATTCTGCTCTTGGACAGATCTGGCAGCCAAAGAAAAGACACAGAATTTGAAAACTCCCAGAAACCCCCATAGGAACGTAGGAGCGTCACTGATGATCGCTTTTGAGGTCTGTCCTCCACATGCAGCCCCAGAATTGTAAGTGCTTCTCTGCTGGAGTGGACTCTTCTGTCTTTGCACTGAGCACACCACCCTGACATCTTTTTGGTTTATGGGGTGCCAGCAATGGGAGTTTATTCTAAAGCGAGTGTTTGCCTAGCACAGCCTATAATCTCAGCACTTGGGAGGTGGAGATAAGAGTTCAGAACCA